GTCACTCGAATGCCGTTTAGACTTTCTTTTATCAGCCACGTTGATGGTGACTTCAGAGAATTCATCATCTTGGGCAGCTGATTTTCTCTTGCAGAAATGCCTCGGCTTAAGCTTCGACATTTCGGTGAGAAGACTGTGGAATACCGAGACTCTTCGTGAGATGGCTTCTCGTTTGAAACAGTCACATTCTGATAGCATTGCTCTAATGAGTCGCGCACATGAACAATGAGAGTTCATCTCCCGGACAGTTCTCTTTCGAGTTTTGTTCATACCCCCAGCTTGATAGTATGATTCATCGGTATGATTGCCGAAAAATCTTATCGTCTGTTGGTATGACCCCCCAGGTATAACGATGTCTTTTGACAACCATGTTTTTTTCTGAGGGTGTAAAACCTTGTTGGCATTCTCAGGACAATTTATTTTTGTCTTTGAGCGATCCAAGGTTATGTCGGGAGTCGCACGTCTAAAACCACCCCCTTGCGGGTATGGAGTCTTAACGGGCTATGAATGCTGATTTTGCATAAGTCCAGACTTTGGAATCCAAACTTGGCAGAGTTTCGGTGGTTCTTTGGTCACCGTTACCTTCCTCCTTTCTCGTCTTTGTTGTAGGAGAGCTCGGACATGAGCAGCATTTGCACGACGTTTTTGTATACGTTCTTTGAGGGTCGAACGAGTCCTTTTGACAATAGTCCATTCCTCCTTGGTCGTTGAGACAACTGAACCACTCGATGCCTCCTCGACTCTAAGTCCGCGTGATAATGAACCCCGTCGGTTTGTTCCAATGCCTTAGCCAATTGACGAGCGCGGCGTTGGCGTCGCCTTTGACGAGCCCTCTTTGTCAGTGGCGAATTTCGATCGAATGACTCCTTAATTGGGGAGGAATGATCATGAGCAGAGCTTCCGGTCTTGAGGGTTACCAGAATAATGTTGCGAGGCATGACCTCAACAACTATTGGATGAGAGGCTTCACTTTTAGCCTTCTCTGGCGTATAGGTCTTCTTCAATGATGAGATCCTCTTACACTTACGTGATAATGAAGATCTTGAAGAGGACGATGAGATATATTCCTCAAACTTGGTTTGGTCGAATTCATACTCGACCATGGATTCAACCGGTACCTTGATTGCGTGCGATACGACGGTCTCGGCAGCGAGACCGTTGGCTCCCACTGTGGTCGCCAGCTTGTTTGGGTCAAAAGTTGGTTTTGTCATGGAATTCATTATATCTTCAGTCGATTACAATAAACTCAAAAAGAGATAGCCTTTTTATAAGACTTCTTTTATACAACAAAATAAAAATTACAACTCTTGGGAAACAAACGCAGGATCGTTGTTTGGATCACTGCTTGCGTGAGATCTTTGCCTGTGCCGGGGGTACGTTAGCCCGTGGACCACCAAATCACAGATTCTGATCGAATCGTGAGGGGTTTATGATTCTGACTTCGTTTATCGAAGTGAGAACTTGAAACGATATCTTATCAAGGTAAGATAGTCGTTCTTCTTGAAATCAAGTCAAAGCCTGAATATCAAGGAGTTACAGAAGCTCGAGTACTCTGCCCTCTCTGCTCTGAAATCAGCCTGTGGATGCTCTCTGATCAGCCTCCTTTCAAAATGGCCTTCGGGGGGTATTTATAGCCCCTAGGAACAGTTGGCAGAAAACAAAATCGCGAGACAGCATTTGCTGTCTCGGCTGCCGAGACAGTGTTTGCTGTCTCGGCGGGCGAGACAGTGTTTGCTGTCTCGGCGGGCGAGACAGTATCTCGAAATATAACGTCAGGCATGTTTCGTTTTAACTGCCTTCGCCACGTTTCAAACTCCGTTATTTTGGCAGTTATCCACGTGATTCACTCGCCCACCGTTTTTCACGTTCTTGAACATTTAGTGGCCACGTGTAGGGAAGATTACAAGGCGGTTTTTGACCATCTGAAAGCTGTCTCAACACGCGCGAGACAAGGTAAACGAGCTGCTCTCGCGTGGGCGAGACAGTAAAGACTGTCTCGCGTGGGCGAGACAGTCAAGTCTGTCTCGCGTGCGAGACAGCCCATACTTGTGTTCTTCTGCCTTTTTGAGCTGTATTCGGATATCTCTCAGCATTTTTTGACGCCTACAAAACTTTTATAGAAATGAGCTTGATCAAATGGAGGATGAACAGGTGTACAATCATAATATCTAACTATATTCAAGTAAAATATATCATATGTTACTGTGTAAATTTTCGTAATTTTTTTTATAGGTCAAGTGGATGCCTTATGAACTAGTTTTAGCTTCACTACGAGATATTTGCAGAGATAGTAAAGATTATGCTGTACTCGAGTATCGATTATATGCTTTGAGATTGTCAAAATACATATACTTGATTGTGTGCTTCAACTATTTGGATTAAAATAGCATATTCTAGATCAATAGAGAGAAATCCCCAAAAAGGAGCACATGATCAAAATTAGGAGATAATTCATCATGCTTACATTGGGAATTGGGAGTTGAGGGAGAATGCCGTAGTGATGAAGAGAGCTGACATACCAGAACTAGATGTGTGCTTACATTGGTATTAGGGGATTACTCGCCGATGAATATTTTAAGAGAATAAAGCACCTAAGGAGAACATACCAAGAGGTCCAGTTGAGAGAGAGTTGGTAAGTAGATAGGATAAATATACAATTATTTTGTGATTGTTATTTTTATTATCATCTAATTGCTAATAATCTTCTTCCACTTTTTATCTTATAGATACAAGAACTCGATGAAATTGCTTCTATTGTACATGATGCACTGAGATCGACTACCAAGCCAGGGGTGAGAAATGCATTTATTAAAATCATAAGGAAGATTCGGTCTGCTCTTAGAAAGACGCGTCATAAAAATCGTGATGGACGTCAAGAACGACTCATATGATACAAGCGTCGACGAGTCGATGGACACTCCAGGGTGGGCTCAAGTCGTGCACATGAGGAAGGTGGTGTTCATAGCAATCTCAAGCTGGATGCTCACAGTAGGTTCATGGCGATGAGCATGTCATGCGCTCACAAGTTCACACACAACTAGATGATGAGATCGTCCAAGCTCATGTTGAAGGCGAACAGGGAAGGGGGAGACGAAGAAGAGGAAGAGCGACAAGGAGCGAGAGGAAAGGGAGTTCTAAATATTTGCTAAATTTTGATATTACTTGTTTTATGATGTTTACGTTTGAAATGCTAGTTGGACTGTATGTTTATGATTGGATTTTTAGTAAGTGAATTACATGTTATGTTTTTGCTTAAAATTGGTTATAAATGTAATATAGATATAAAGATATGTGTTTATTTAAGATCGAAATTGATTATGGACTGATATATGTGTAGCAGGAGAGTTTGTGTTAAACCTAAAAAATTTAGTCAAAGATTGATATATGCGTAGTAGGAGATGAGATTTTCCAGCAAGTCTGTGTGCTAGAAGGTCTCTGCCAAATGGTCGGGGTTGGAAACCCCAACCATTTCTATCCCCATGAGGCATGCGATAGGCTGGAAGTTTCTGCCAAATGAACGGGGTTGCAAACCTCGATCAAAATGGTTAGAGTTCGCAACCCCGACTTTTTTAACTTGCTAATCATGAGTGTGATTAGCGGAGCTTCTAAGGAGTTGACAGATTGCTCCTAATTAGTCGGGATTGACAACTCTGACTAATTAGCAATATAATTTTTTTTTAAATGACCTAGTTTATGGCTACGATGCTAACGTGGACAGAAAGTAGGTCGATTTCTATAATAAACTTTGGAATGGATCGATTTTTGGGATAAAAGTCAGGATTGGGTCTGTTTTGAAAATTTCTTCCCCCTCTGATGCACTTAATCTCAAGTTCACTTTCAAATCAAGTCATTGATTCCCATCTCAAAATCATTCTTCCCGAGTACTTTTCTAATGGCAGTGCTAAACCTGCATCGATTAACATAAACAAGGACGATCTCACTAATCAAATCAAGGAAGTTATTTTAAAATGAGACGGTTGATATATAAAATCGTGGTTATTAATAAATATTCTTCCAAACCAAACTTAGTTAAGAAAGTCATGTCCTAAATTGGTGTTCATGTGATGTGGTATAGATTTGTGTTGCTTTCGGCACCATCACCATTTAAATAGCACAAGTGGGTGGATAGTGGACACCGTTTCTTGTCTTTGTCCCTCATTTACACTGAGCACCTTCAATCTTGTAAGCAATAACTTGTTAAACAAACTAATATAAAAGTAATTAGGGGATCTAAATTGTTTGTTGGACAACGAACTAAACCAAGGAACGCTTGCGTGCGGCCAAAAATTGGGACGGATATATGGAATAAGTAATATGTTATGTTGACACGTCTAAGTTCTAATCTGACATTACTAATATTAGACCTAGGTATGTTATGAATGAAATATTGTACTTAAGAATAGATTAAGATCAGTATTTTCATTGTTTTTTTTTTGAACCAGAAAAACAGGGCACAAGTAAAAAATAAGGTATCCCAGACGGAAAATTCCGTCTAGGATACTCAGATTTCCGTCTATGATGGGTATTCTAGACGGAATTCCGTCTAGAATATGCGTCTAGGATGTTTCCGTCTAGGATGTAGTATTCTAGACGGAAATTCCGTCTAGAATACATCCTAGACGGAATATTCTAGACGGAATTCAAAACCGTCTAGAATACATCCTAGACGGAATATTCCAGACGGAAATTCCGTCTAGAATACTTCATCCTAGACGGAAAAAATTTCCGTCTAGAATGAGTATTCTAGACGGAAATTTCCGTCTAGGATAATCATCCTAGACGGAAGGATGTTTTTTAATTTTTCTAAATTTTTTTTAAAAAAATAAGCTATCCTAGACGGAATTTGAGCATCCTAGACGGAATTTCCGTCTAGGATAATATGCTACAGTGTTTTTTTTTTTTTTTTAAAGGATCTGCTTTGGGTGTATGTGCACAATGTTGAGCAACACTAAATTATATTCATATCCAACACAATCTAATTTTATTCCATTATCAAATCTAATTATATTCCAATAATACATTCAATATTTTTACTAGAAAAAAAATTGTTTACAAACTTTTACATCAATTATTTACACAAATTCACATAGGATTTTCCCTTTGCAATCAACTCATCATCATCACCACTCTTCTTATTAAGCCCAAGCCTATTCTTCCTTGCCTCTTCCTCTTCAACATCTTCCTCGCCTTTGTCAGAATGATTGCATGTATCTTCGCTTTTCACCTTCTTGGAACGATTCCCTTCAGCCCAACCATCATGCATGCCTTTACAGTCGATATTATCATTCAAAAACAAAGATATATCATCATTCAAAATCAAAGATAAATAAATCCAAGACTGGAAATGCCATGAACCACATGTTACATGTCATTAATTTTCTCTTGCATACGCCAATTTAATTACAAGTAACATCAACAGAAAGGAACTTTAAAATCAGTGACATTGCTAATCAAGGCATAAATCTTGTAAGCTATTTGTGAAGCCTACCAAGACAGCTTTTGATATGTTGGCACTTCACTGTTTTCAGTTACATGTTAGTATGAAGTTTGGCTCCAAGTGCATGTCAGAGCTTTTAAAATCTGAAGCATACCTGAATTATAGGATCCAGTAAAGCAGCAATCACAGGATCAAAGTCAGGCTTCTTCCTAGATGCATGAACCATCATGCCATCATAGGTATCAATAAGCTCAAGCAGCAAAGAAACACCTTCCCTTGCTGCTGATGGTGGGGATAAATCAACTGGAACCAAAGGATCAAGAAGTTAATTTCATTACAATGAAATTAAAATTAGGTTGAGATTCCAAGCACAAAACAAATAAGCAGACCTGAAGGAGCCATCCTAACATATCTCCTACATAACGCATGGATCATGATCATGCACTTCAATAGGACAATGAAGATATAAAGATATAGAAAGTTGAAAGTAATTGTTGCCTCGAAGATCCTGATTGAGGTAATGTTGCCTGATAAAGTGCAGTTTTAAGTAAGACCAGCTTGATATAATGGAAAGAAAACAAATTTTACCAAATCTAATATATTTGATAAATTTGAAAAGTTTCATAAAAAAATATGTAGTTTCACGGTTCTTGTCCACTTCAATAGATTGAAACCTCATGCGGAGTATGGGACAATGATGGGACTATAGAAATAGAAGACTTTTGAAATCCAACTCCCCTAGCACAATAAGGAACTCACTCATTCAAGAACAGAGACATAAGCTAACAACTGGCAGATTTTAATTAAAAAGACATATCATTTAACACATAACAATAAAAGAGGATCATCACCTAAACACGCTAGTCAATCATGCGTCCTAAAGGTTATGAGATCAATTTAAGTAGGTGTTGGCTGCCTCCAGTGACAGCATCCAAGAACCCTCTTATTCAAAGATGGTGGATTGCTTCAAACTAGTGGGTAAGAACATAGGACCAGAAGGAATCAGTTCTCTATTTACATGAAATATCCTCAACAGGAGACATTTACCTGTGAATGACGGCAACATTAATCTTCATAGCCTCTCCATAAACATTGACTAAGAAAAATGAATGACAATTACTCTTCTCTCAATTTCTTTTACATATCATTATTACTTGACTCGTTCTGAGTTTGGCCTTCATTAACAAATTTTATCGACATTTCAACTTCCACAGGTACAATTACTTTCCACATCGGTTGTCATTTTGCCGCTAATTTGATGTGAACCAAAAAAAACACATCCCGACCCATGAAAAAATAGAGCTTTATGGCAAAAATAAGTTAAGCTTAGTTATTTTTTCTTCCTTCTTACTATTCAGTTTGTAACAGAGTCTGAACTCCTCTCATTCATGCTCAATGTTTTTCAGTATCTGCATCGTGAAAACCCTAGATATACTTAAAAATAAAAAAAAGTATAACAATTACTAGAAAAATAAGAGGAAAACTCTAGTTTTACTTGCAACAAAAATTAAAGGATAGAAGAGTTACATTTCACCTGAAACCCCTAGATTCATCTGAATCCGCCGCAAAAAGAGAGAGAGAGAAACTACTGTGATTTCAAAACAATGAAGAAGGAGGAGGCAGGACGGGGCCCACTCCTGGATCATGAGAAGGACGGAGGAGGCCGAGGTTCGAGCGGAGGAGGCGAAGATCTCACGGCCAGGGCTGAGGCCTAGGCTACGGAGGTAGAGGTAGGGGTTCGAGGAGGAGGATGCTTGGCGGCGGCGATTGTATTCGCGGAGGCGCTCTTCGGTGAAGGAGGTGGAGACCGAGGGTTTTAGGGTTAGGGTTTTGGAGTTAGGGCTGGCCATCGTTGAGAGGGGAGTGAGGGAGGGGAGACATTGGAGGAGGTTTTGGAGAGAGTAGGGTTAGGGTTTCGATGGGAACAAGGAGAAAGGGCGAGCTTCACGATGGTGGATTGAGTTTAAATTTGGGGAAGAAGTTGAGCGAGCTGGGGATCAGGATTTTCTCTCAAAAGCGGGAGAGGGAGAGGGATAAATTTGGGGAAGAAGTTGAGCGAGCTGGGGATCAGGATTTTCTCTCAAAAGCGGGAGAGGGAGAGGGATTTGGAGATAGGGATTTGAGGGCGGAAAGGGGATCAGGATTTTCTCTCAAAAGCGGGAGAGGGAGAGGGATTTGGAGATAGGGATTTGAGGGCGGAAAGGGGGAATGGAAAAAATATGGTGGGAATTTTCAAATTTATTTTTAAAAAGGGGGCAATCATTTTAGACGGAAAATTCCGTCTAGGATGTATCCTAGACGGAATTTTCCGTCTAGGAAGTTTGCCCTATTTAAAAAAAAATAAAATAAAATAAAAAAACCGTCTAGAATACTATTCTAGACGGAAATTTCCGTCTAGAATGTTTATTCTAGACGGAATATTCTAGACGAATTTTTTCCGTCTAGTTTAATATTAAACTAGACGGAAAAAAATCCGTCTAGAATATTCCGTCTAGGATATGAGAATTTTTACTAGTGGGGAGAGGTTCCCTGTTTATATGTATATATAATTATATATATAAAAAAGGGATGGAAAAAAATACATGACAAACCAAAAGATGAGGATGATGAGAACCAATAGATGATATGATCGGTGGGGAGCGGACCTTGTCGTCACCTACCAAACCAGATCAAGAATGGTTCCGAACATACCATAAAGCAATAGCATACACATACTAGTTTCTAGGTTAAGTTTGACAAGATATTACAAAACATAACAACTACTGCTAGAGCCAAGGCCCAAAAAAAGGAGCAAAGAGGATGATGATCCTATTAGAAGTTGTCCCCAACTCCATCATCCTTGGCAACTTTGGCTAGTTCCTTCAGACCGAGACCGATCGCCACTTTGTGCATTTTTGTTGCCCTTCTGCTCGATGATGTTCCTGTCCAGAACAAGGTGAAACGTGCAATATGAGATGCAATGATCAAAGGAGAAGAAACTACACCATTAAAAATCTTATTGTTTCTGCTAAACCAAATTCTCCAGCAGTAACTAGGTAGTAAAACTCTCCATATGCATCTGATACGATGGTCAATGGAATGATCAAGAGACCCTGAAAGGAGCGCTGACATATCTTACGGCCATACATCAGGATGGTGGTTGGGGGCGATCAAAGACCAAACATCTCTAATAACTGAACATTTGGTAAAAAGGTTATCATGGGTCTCATTTGCAGAATTGCATAATGGACATGAAATGTCGCCAATCCAACCCTTTTTAGTCAACACATCCTTCGTTTGAAGCTTCTGGTGACTAAGAAAAATCTTGACCTTATGAGGAATGGGTGATTTCCAAATGAAATTGAATAAATGGAATGAGATACCCCCTGATACAAGGAATCTGTAACATGAGTTCATAGTGAATTCTCTAGATGGATGAAGAGGCCAGCAAACCTGATCCTGAGCTTGAGAATCGGGAACCTTAGCTTGATCAAGAAAGGAGTACAGAAGGTTGATGTCTTCTCTACTATCCGGGGTGTTACCTCTCCTGATGATGAGGTGCCACTTCCACACATTATTGATGAAGGCACCTTGGGAGAGAACTGAGCTGGTATGAGAGAAGGCAAGATGATAGACTCTTGGGAACAAGCTCCTGAGGGTGTTAACACCCATCCATTTATCATGCCAGAATCTACAAGAAGCGCAGTCCCCTATATTCCACTGAGCCTGGCTAAAGAAAGAGTCGTGAATAGAAAAAAGATCTTTGATCAAGTTAGAAGCCGAAGCCTTAGGAGGGATAACTAATGGGTTGGAGGAGTTAGAGGAGTATATGGACCAGATGACCTTGCTAAGGAAGGAGTTGTTGACACTGATTTTCCATAACCATTTAGATAGGAGGACCAGATTGAAAAAGTGCAAATTGATGACCCCTAAACCCCCCTCAACCTTAGGTTTACAAACAATGCCCCAGTTGATAAGACTTTTGGGTTTGGTGGTTTGAGGATAGCAGCCCCAAAGGAAATTTCTTCTAATTCTGTCGATGGCTTTGATGAGCCAGGATGGGAGCTTAAAAAAGACATATAGTATAGAGGAATAGATGATAGAACAGAATTTAGAAGAGTGAGTCTACCACCTATTGATAGGGATTTGTGTTTCCACAGAGACAGTTTTTTAGAGAAGGAGTCGAGGAGAGGTTGCCACTCTCTTTTGGAGAGAGAACCCCTTTTGAGAGGAAGACTGAGCTACGAGAATGGAAGGGTACCAAGAGAACACTTTAGTCTGTCAGCAAGAGAGATACCCTTGTTAGGAATTCTACCAAGATAGTGAAGGTGAGTTTTGGACTGATTCATGGATAGGCCAGAGATAAGACCAAAAATATGGAGGATGGTTTTGAGAGTATGAATGTCTTTACATGTGGCTCTACAAAAGATGAGGGTGTCGTCTGCAAACTGAAGCTCTTCTCTTCTTTTGCACGATAAAAACTCCACTAAGGTATTCCTAGTGGATAAAATATCCAATGGGTCTGGTTCGTCGCCGTAAAATATGCAGCAAAGAAATAATTAACTCTTGAATTATTGAGCTTTTTCGTGATTTTGTACTGATTCAAAAACTGATATCTTTGTGAGCACATTTAATCCATAGACATGGCCTATGTGATACTGTCTCATTCATGTAGACTAAAGTTTAAAACTTACATGATGAAGAAAGTTTCCAGTAAACCCGGTCTATTGTTGATCTGATGAGCTAAAAAGAGGCACATTTTGATAAAGAAAGTAACTGTATTTTTAGTCAACTTGTACAATGCACATGCATTGCATGTAAATGTACATGTTTTAATTTTTTAAAATTTTTTATTGAATAGTAACACTATGAGTTAATAAATAAAATTATATAATAAGATTTCTTAGGAAAAATTGCTTCAAGACCCTAAAAATAATAAGTTGATGTGTCCCAGCCCCCTATATTTTTTCTAATGTGTATAATCCCTAAATGCATAAAGTGTATATGATTCAGCCCCATGTACAAGTCCCAAGAACAAAAATCCCCAAACTACCCCTCTTCTTCTCCTCCTTCTTTGCATGCCCCCTCTTGAGTTTTGAGGGCTCCGTTCTCTCCTCGTCCGCCCCCATCCCCCTCCACCACCGAGATCGAGCAGATCCTCATTGCCTCCATCGCCACGTCAACCCCTCCCCTTCACTCTCTCCCCGTTGTCAAACCCTTGTAAGATCTCGATCTCATATCCCCAGCAAGCTCAACGCCGCCACCGACTCCTCCTCCACCTCTGACTTTGACGATGACAAAGATGACCTCGAGTCCTACGACAATGGTGAGTTCGACCAGATCCCCGTCGCCTCCATCGCCACGCCAGCCCCTCCCCTCCACTCTCTTCCCATTGTCAAACCCTTGCAAGATCTCAATCTCATATCCTCCAGTGAGCTCAATGCCGCCACCGACTCCTCCTCCACCTCTGACTTTGATGATGACGAAGACGACCTTGAGCCCTACGACGATGGTGAGTTCGACCAGAAGCTGACCTCGATCTCGATCTCATCTCCTCCAGTGAGCTCAACGTCACCACCGACTCCTCCTTCACCTATGACTTCAATGATGATGAAGACGACATTGAGTCCTCGATGATGGCGAGTTCGACCAAAAGACAATAGATGAGTAGCTTAACATCAATTCTAGCTTCCAGAATGTAATGTCTCATACATGATAAATTATGAAGGTTCTGAGCTTGATAATTTGTGGGAATGATTGTTTTTCTTTCACAGGTGTCATGATAATTAATGGGAAGGATTATGTACAAAAAGGGGAGGCTAGCGGTGGCAGTGGAGATATTCACGGTGGCACCGTCAGTTCTGGTGGTGGAGGTGAGGAAAGAGGGTGGGGATAGTCTGGAGTACAAGAGCTTCTGTAGGGATGAGCGTCGACGTTGAAGGACATCGTGTGGGCTGCCGCCGTTTGATTTGGTTGATCGTCTCAATAATTAAGAGGGGATGCGTTTGTGTTTGTGTTTGTGTGTGTGAGTTTGTTTGTGCTGCAATTGTTGTTGGATTTTGGTATGTGTGTGAAGCGTTGAAGGTGGGGTTTGTTCTGTGGTGTCATTGTTTGTTATTTTGTTGGTATTATTGCACCTGGCATGTTTCCTGGCCACATGTAAAATTTGTGGGGATTAGAATTGGAAGGATTGTGTGGATTCAGAGGATCCTTTTGGGATTTAGAGAGTTGGTTTTGGATTATGTGGATTCAAGAAATTTAAATCCTTTAAAAGAAACGAAAACCTTATTTTGAATTTTACAGTTTACTTTAAAGAAACACAATTTATTAAATATAGTTAATAATTTACCAAATATAATTATTAATTTACCAATTAAGGTTAACATGCTATAGAATCGCTGAATTTTACAGCTTACTTTAAAGAAACACAATTTAAACGCGAGGCTCGCGTTGGTTGGAGGATCGATTTTCTCGAAGTTGTACTTGTCGTCGAGATCTTCTTCTTCGTCGAGCGGCGTTCTTCTTAGCCTGCTTCAAAGCCTTAGTATCAGTATCAGTGACGTTGACTGTGCTTTCCTCTGTCATAGGCCTTTTACAACCAAGTACACGCTGTGTCGACATAGGCGTGTGATCTTCGGTTTGCAGAGCGAGCTTGAGGCTTTGGCCAAAGGAGAGGACTTTCTTTGGCGTCTCAACAGCAACTAAGACCTCTTTAGAGCTCTTACAGGCATCTTGTCTAGCCTTAGGGCTAAGTGATCTGGAAGAGAGGGCATCCTCGTATTTGGCTTGGTCAAATTCCACGACCAAGGTTTCCACGGTTGTTCCAGTGAGGTGAACGTCGGATTGCGCCACCACTTCTTCGTCAGAGAAGCTAGTCCCCAGGGGATATATATATATTGTTTGTGGGAAAATTTGCAGTAAAAGAAACGAAGGAAAATTGATTTGTATTCCTTTAATCTTAGTTACAATTAGATTTCCTGATTACAAAAGAGAAGAGAATGATCTGGATTCTCCCCTTTGTTTAATTCTGGGTTCTTCACGGTGGTG